AGAGAGAGAGAGAGAGAGAGAGAGAAGGCATAGCAACGCACCCACCTGAGGCCCCACAGAACCCACCATAGATCCTGCACAGCCCACAGAGACTGTCTATGGTAAGCTCTGCAGGGTATCAGGTTGGCTGGTCGGGGGGGCCCTTTCCTTGCAGCTCCTTACCTGCCGCAGCGAGCTTCTTACAGCACCGGACCGTCAACGTTCACTGGACCGGCGCTACTGGGCACCAGCCCCGGCGTCCTCCACCTCCTCCTCTGTCAGTGCCCGCCCGGCGGTAGTTCAATCGTCCCGTTCTCTGCCACTACAGGATGAAGCGGAGTCCAGCAGGGCAATGTGGCGTGCAGCCTCGGCGGGGGAGCGCGGGAGTTCCCTCTCTCATCCCTCTGCTCTGTGTCGCCTCGCTCTCTCTCCCCTCCTGCTCTCGCTGCTGGGCTGGAGCCTGAGCCGGCCGTGTCTCAGTGAAGTGCTCCTGTGCTGGGCCCCATCTAAGTGGCAGAACTCCAGGGCCCGGTCGCAGCTGCGACCTGTGCGACCCTGGTAGTTCCGCCACTGTGTGGGGGGGCAGGGAACAGGGGGATTATTATTTTGTGTGGGGAGGCAGGGAACAGGAGGGCTTCTTATTTTTTGGGTGAGGGGGCATGTAACAGGGGGGAGAGTATTTTTCAATATGTGGGGGCAGGGGGCTTTATGGTAATATTGTTAAAGTTGTTATTTATTTTTGTCACTTTATTTTGCATAAAACATCTAACAGTGTCATTTATAAGATTATTTAAGAGGGTGTGTTTAGGGGCGGAGTTAAGGCCAGGGCAGGGGTTAGGTGGGCAACTGGTGGCGAGTAACTCTTAAGGCCTGGCTAGTAGCTCAGGACTTGAAATTTTGACCCCTGCTATAAAGTATGGCATAGTCAACATGAAACAATACAAAATTAAAAAAGACCTAAGTGGGGAACATTCACTTCCTCACAACTAAGAAGCTAAAAAACATGTCATGGATCTGGGTACAGGGACAAGGGAGGGCAGAATGATTGAGCGAAGCATAGCACTCAGTAAGTTCTCAAGCAGATTTGGTGTTTCTTTGGAGCAATCAAAACTGGCTTATTCGTTTTTATTAGGGACGCACCGATACCATATTTTTCAAGACCGAGTAAGAGTACCAATACTTTTCCTCAAGTACGCGCTGATACCAAGTACCGTTGCTTTTTTTCTTGTGTCATGTGACAGTTTTTCTATAACAATACAGACTAATGATTTTAGGACAGTGGTGGATCACCAGGGCCCCAGTCCCAGCTACAATCCTGGTAGTTCTGCCACTGACTCCCAAGCTGTGGAGGGACTTCACATCCCAGCAAAACATTATATAGCAATTCAAAATAATATGAAGCTGCAGTGTTGCTCATCAGAGGACTGTGCGGGGCCTCCAGGGCTACGTGTGGTCTCACCGGGGCTGTACTGGCAGGTGAGGGTCTCACCAGGGTTGTGCGTGCAACGGGAAGGACAAGCAGGAGACTGTAAACAGGCGCTGTGAGGTTCCCAACAAGCGGCAGCCGCTTGTGTTTAAAAAAAATTAAAAGCAACCGGTATCGGCGAATGTTCATGAGTACTGGTGAAAATGCCCAGTATCGGAACCAATACCAATCGGTGCATCCTTAGATTTTATATTTAAAATACAAAGGGTTGCTGTGCATAATTAAAAAAAAAAAATCAGAAGTTACAAAGTGAGACAAACATGCAAGCAAACAGTATTATAATAAAAAGGCATGAACTTCTATTTCTCCTGCTTCCAGGGTAGGAAAAAACCGTCATATTGATAGGACCTGTGACGTATGACCCAGAGCTGGTTTTAGAGTTTCATTGAAAGTTGGTGACAACCTATTCAGGCTATACAGTGGGATGGAAGGGGCTGGCCGCTACCTACTCTTTCTAGTTATGAGTTATCAATCTAAAAGTGAGAGTAATGGTTTCGGCTGTTCTGCTGTGCAGAGTCCAAACTCCAATTCCCTATGCCTACCAGAACACGTAAAGACCAAAATATTCGTACCGCTCCCATATTTTATCATAAAACTAGCAAGTATGGAGTCAAATACATCTGTAAAAAATAAAACGCATTTGGACTTGCTATTTTTTCTTGAAAACGTTTCGCTGGTCATCTGACTATCTTTCTCAAATCAGAAAGAGGCTGCCCACCTTCCTCCTACTCTTCAGCAGCCTTCTAGTCATCTCCTGCTTCTGTGTTGCAGGGATAGAAGCAGTGGACAGAGGTCCCTGTGAACGGCCCAGAGAAATTCCAGGAGCTTTGGTTCAGTATGGCTTTTCCCTATACAAGCTGAAGAATTGCACAACAGTATTTTGCCTGTGACATAGCATAGACTAAGGCATGTGGAGGGCTGTTGGCCCTGAAGATTGGGAAGATGACACCACTGTGAAAGGGGTAGCACAGTTTGACTCAGGTGCTGCCTTGTGAATCTACCCTATGCTGCATCTTATTTCCAGGCACCATAAAGCTTGCCATACACCTTACAACCATCACACGTCTTTCATTGTGCGATGGTTGTAAGGTCATTAAAATTTCGTACGATCTGCCCATCTTGGACAGGTAGAGCGTACTTGCGATCATCGCAAGCCCTCCACGCTGAGGGCAGGGCTTTCCGATGATTGCTGTGCTGAGCGGGCAGTGTGCGCTTGTGCACACTGGCCCGTGCGGCTTTCGTCTTCCGACCACGCCAACAAATATCGCACAATTTTCAAGCTGCTCGTAAGAGGAAAGTCGTACAACCTTACAGTCAATAGAAGCGGTCACACGCTGCCCATACACCTGCCGATTATCGTACGATTGCAGGATCATACAATAATCGGCAGGTGTATGGGCACCTTAAGATTACGGTTGGGTTCACACTGGAGCATATTTTTTTCTGCTCGTTTTTTTCTATTTCAATTTTTTTTTTCACTTTCAAACTTCCCGTTGGCTCCGCCCCCCTGCAACGCGGCCGCCGGAGGACACAGCGGGGATCGCGGACAAGGTAAAACCTGTACGCTGTATTCCCGAGTGTGGCTCGGGGTTACCTCTTTGTTAACCCCGATCCACACTCCGGAATACCAATGGAAACACGTGGAAAAACGCTCCAAAGACGCTCCTGTACTTTGGGCGTAGGCCGTTTTGCAGCGCGTTCCTACACGCTGTAAAACGCCCAGGTGGGAACCTAAAGGAGAACTATGAGGTGAGTGATTTTCACTCATCCTCATAGTTCGAGCCGACGTGTGACAATGAGACTGTCACAGGTCGGCTCAGTAGATCGGGAAGTGAGCGAACACATACCGGCGCCCACTCACTTCTCGATCCTGTCACCGCAGAGAGCTGTGACGGGGGGGGAGTGGATACTCCTCTCCGATCCTCCAGTGCCGACTGGCGGAACGGACGGGTACAGCTGCTCTGCCTCTAGATAGGCAGCCAGCTGTCACTCACGCAGCTGGGCGGATACAGACACAATTGTCGTGACCCGTTTCAGCTGCGGCGACTCAGTATACCACGAGCTGTAGCTCGCGGAATACTGAGCTTTTGGTCATGGGAGGACGCTAGTTTGTGTCCTCCAGTTACCCTTAGAACTATGGGGAAAAGCCTTAACCCCATAGTTCTCCTTTAACCCAGTGTGCCGTGAAAATACACCCATAAGCCATAACATTATGACTACTGAGAGGTGAAGTGAATAACATTCTCTTGTTACAATGGCACCTGGAAGCAGTTGGGATATATCAGGCAGCTAATGAACATCTTGTCCACAAAGTTGATGTGTTGGAAGCAGAAAGAAAATTGGCAAGTGTAATGATTTGAGCAACGTTGACAAAGGGCAAGTAGTGATAGCTGGATTTTCAAAGAGTTGTGCTAATGGAATAAGTAGCACAAAGGAGGGGAACCTAAAGGTTCTGGAAGCTGCCACACAGAAGGCTAATAAGCCCCAATCTAATTTCAAAACAATGGTATAGCACTACACCTTCTATTGAAAAGTGCATAAATATTACAATGTATGGAGTGATCAGAAGCTACACATCCAATAAAAGTCTATCAAATTGTCTTAAAAACACAAAAGGTGTTCTCCGTGTGTTCCAACACATCCCCCCAGTGACTATGCACTCACCGAAATCTCTAGCTGTCTAACACAGCATATGGGCAACCAGCAAAAGACTCTCCAGGTAATTTCCGTGATAGCTGGATGACTGGGTCAGAGCAACTCCACAACTGCAGCTCTTGTGGGATGTTCCCAGTCTGCAGCGGTCAGGAACTACCAACAGTGGTCCAAGGAAGGAAAATCGTTGAACCAGCAACATGGTCGTGGGCAGCCAAGGCACAATGATGCAAGTGGAGAGCGAAGGCTGGGCCATGTAGTCCAACCCAACAGGTCAACTGTAGCTCAAAATTGCTGAAAAAGATGATTGTACCAATAGAAAGGTGTCAACACTGTGCATTGCAGCCTGTTGCAGATAGGGCTGCGTAGCTGCAGACCAGTCAGGGTGCCCATGCTGGCTGGCGTGTGTGACCTGGAGAAGAGATGTCACCAGGATGCGCATTGGGAAGAAGGAAAGCCTTTGCAGGCAGTGTGATGCTTTTGGCAACGTCCTACCATTCATCTGGATATTCCTTTGACATGTACCACCGACCTAAACATTGTTGCTGACCAAGTACATCTTCATGGAAACTGTTCTCCCTGATGGCAGTGGCCTCAAGTCGAAATGTTGACTTGGCCTCCAAAGTCTCCAGATCTCCACTCAATTGAGCATCTGTGGGATGTGCTGAAAAACAAGTCTGATTCATGAAGGCCGATCACCTCAAAACTAACAGGACTTAAAAGGATCTGCTGCTGATGGTTTGGTACCAGATACCACAGTATACCTTCAGAGGTCTAGTGGAGTGCATGCCTTGAGCGGTCAATGCGGTTTTGGCAACAGAGGGACCTACTTAATATTAAGCAGGTGGTCATTGTAAGTCTGATTAGTGGGGTTTAAAAAAAAAAAAAAAACAGATAATTTTAGATTTTTATTTAACCCCTTTGTGACAGGAGACATATACTGTACATCATCACAAAGTGACTATATGACTGGCTACGTACACTGTACACGAGTTATTTAAGGCTGTAATGCCAGTAGCCGCTGATTCTCATCTGTTACCATTCATTAATGGATGGGTCAGTATTGAGACATTTCATTAATGAAATAGTTAATAATGTGAAACCTCGCACCACTACTCCAATCCAGTTAAGCAGCAGCTGAAATCTGTGTGGTCAGATATAGTATAAAATAAAAGCCGCACTGTGAATGAATCTACAAAAGTGTCAGATACAGTAGATACTGGCCGTGAAATAATGATACATGTAAAAAGTGCAAATAAAAGACAAATGCATGTGTATAACATGCACCTCAGTGTAAATACATTGCTACAAAATATCCATAATGAAAAATCAAATACGATAATAGCTGTAATGCAATGTGAAAATAGCAACAAGGGGGAAAAAAAAAAACCACAAACACCTCAGTGCAAATAATATGGTTACAAAAATGTCCACGATCCTGGATCTTCAATAGTCCATTAGGAAAATAGAAGATAAAAAACAGTGGATGTAAAGTAATCAGTCACCTGTGGCCATCAACCATACATTGGTGGCGTATAGGAGCTGAGCGATTGCAGGGTCTGTGGCTGCTTACCAAGTTGTTTTATCTAAACCTTATTTTTTATCTATGATATGCGAGTAGTATCCTTTTTAATAAAGTATAGTATCTTTTTAAAACCATCTGCACTATAAGTTTCCACTTTGTTTGATGCATGGTCCATTTGGATGAATTGTCTGCTTTCAACCGAGACTCCAATGAGAGTCTGTACCTGAGGAGGAAATTACTGGGAGGTGTTCGGCATCAGGTGCATCCTCTACCTGGTTTGAATTAGAGGAACAGCGCATACAGACCCTGGTGGGTCTCTGCTAAAGGCGAGGTGCATTCCAGAAGATTTGTTGTTTCAAATTGCTCCTGATGCTTATCCAGATACTGGAACTTTGGTATCAGGTGGCAAGTCATTACACAATGCCCGACTTCACGATTGGTTGGGAAGCCAGCTCCCTCGTCAGTGAGGAACATTAAACTTGCTTCCCAGCCAATCAGGAAGCTGGGGGGCGGGTCACTACACAGTCCAGCTACCTTAAATGGGACTTCCGGTATAGGAAAACTGGTACCCTATAAAAAACAGTATTGCTGCATCCCTAGTAGCTGGCAACCTAGGCAGGTCCAGAATTCCTCCAGACTTCTCCCTCCCGATGGTCCCCTATTCCTGAAAGCATGTACCCATCTAAGTGTAATCAGCCGTGAACCTATAAACCACTCTGGTGGTTGGCAATACTACCAACAGGCCAGAATGCAGCCTGTTGCACCGTACAGCCAAAAACTAGCATCAGCAGATGCCGAAACAACCCCCTGGGACAACATAAGAACAGAGAACCAGGTGGAAACCTTGCAAATCTGCAAGGCAGATGTTTGATGCTGAAAAGACTGAGAAACGCTCACAAATCTGGTGCACCTTCACATGGAAAAGCAGAGCTTTACCTTTTACAGAATGTCCAATGACCTGTCTGATTGACCCAAAGATGGTGGAAGCACACGGAGCTTCACGAAAACCAGATTGTTAGAACAAAGATGAAGCCGAAAGATTGAACGCAAACAGCCTGAACCACATCCAAATAGTGAATACCTACTTAGGATGTCTTGGGGCAGGACAAAAAGAGGAAAGAATGATGACCTCATTACAAAAAAAGGAGAACTATGGGGTAAGTGCTTTTCCCCGTAGTTCTCCTAAGGGTAACAGGAGGACACAAACTAGCATCCTCCCGTCACCCAAAGCTCAGTATACCGCGAGCTACAGCTCCATCACAACGGAGAGCCACCAGGGTTCTCTCCCTGGCCGACATGTGCATGGGGCAATCCAGACAGTATGTTTGTGTTCAGTTCATCAACTAATAATTTGTCAGTCACTGAAAAAGAAAGTTATGACGACCAAAACTATACCAAAATGTTAGGGAGAGCCGATTCGGGAAGAGATCCATTCAGAACCAATCTTTGGACTTCTAGTTGGATCCTGGATGGACGGCTAACAGGCCATCTGCGCAAAGGCATTACTGCCAATATAGTTTTTAATAATTCAGTGTTGCACTTTTGCTTGAAGGAATGTACAATGTCATCTGCAAGTTATAATCAGTGCACATCTACTTACTGGTTCTTCGTTGAGAATAAATCATTGTTTTTTCTAAAAGATTTGGTTTAATCTAATGTTCAGATCGACATTTAATATCACAACAGTCAAGTCTTGTCTGTATTGCATGTTCAAACCTCAATACCATAAGTAATAGCAGGTTAGACTTTTACTCCAGGAATAGAATGATTGAAAAGGCTAGAGAAATTCATAAAATTACTCTAACTAAACCCACTAGATTTTAGTAGGCAATATACTGTAGTTTTAGGTGACTAAAATGTGGCATTTTAGTCAAAAGACTGGCAAACAAAAATCTAAATTTGTCATCAAAATTAACACTGGGCTTTTTGTCCCATGCAACGAGAATGCTTGGTTTGAGTGGTCTGGAACGGAGTGCTCCGTATTGACTTGGAGGCTACCATTAGACCCAAAACCCTCATGCAGGATCTCACTGGGGCTAGTCCACTTGCTTGAAGTACACTATCAAACTGAGGCTTTCCTTAAGTGGGAGGTTATGATGTTCCTTATTGCTGTGCCTAGTGTCCAATCACCTCCTACCAACATATCATCCAGTCTATGAAACTGCCCGTGTCCTTTAAAGAACATTAAAGTACAATATTTTAAAGGGGCTTGCACAGGTGGTGCCCAGGGAGGGGGGCCAAGACTCATCCACTAGAAGATACTAAACTAAAATCTCCTTCAATAAAGAAAAGAAAAAAAAGGAGACCTTCATCACCTAAGAACACTAGCAAAGTGGAGTGGGAGGGGTTATACAAGTCCTCACATCTGGTCAATACCTCATCACTTGATACCTGCATATTACCCAGTTGTGTCTGAATATGCCAGCGTTCTGTACCATCAAAAGACAGCATCCTGCTAATGAGCACTAGCCTGCTACAAATCATTCCTAGAGAATTTCCACAGAGAGCTGTGGCAGTGTTTACTGAACCTAACAAACCCATAAAAGGAACCCCCAGACATTTTCCTGACCTGAATAGTTCTGTGAACTTGAACACAACAGAAGAAGTCACTGTTGACTGTAGGCCTGACAAAAGGAAACCGTATAGATAATGAACTGGGGAACCCAAGCTACATTTATAGATTGAGAGCTGTCCAGGGTTTCCATATCCAGCTTCGAGTTCACACTAACTGTGAAACTTCCAGAAATTCAGGAGCAGTCAGAACAGGGTAAATGGGAAACCCTGCACTGTATACTGGAGAACGTTACAGGATTTGAAAAAGATTCATTATGAACCAGTACTGTTGGCCGATGGAAAACTATCCAGGGGTTTCATATGTCCATCATGAATCTACCAGGAGCTGTTTATCGTACAAAGTCTTCCAGACCATCAAACTATAGTAGAGCTGAAGAAAACAAGTCAACCCTGAGGACATCAGCAAGAGTCATGAGTTTGTGGTCCTTTGCTGGCAAATTACTTATTGCCGTTGTTCATTTCTTCTGCAGGCAGAATAACCCAACAGTGCTATTCCGGTGTCCCTTTAATGAACAGTTGGCAAGCAGGTCTCTAAAGTGAATTTTGTTTTCAGGTGCAATTTCTAAGGGCGCATTCATATGAACACATTCATATTGACACAGAGCCATACAGCGTGCACGTCCATGCAGAAACCTGCGTCTGGGAAGTACAGCCAAGTCCAAATCCCATTCGCACTACCACGGTCTCAAAGTCCACAAGGTATATGTGGTGCTCGAGGTGATGACACGGATGGTGCCGTGCAAACACTAGTGATAAAAAGGTATTTCACCGGCACACGCGCGAAAGGTATTTAAAGTATTGATATGTTTATTCAATAACGGATGTCACATACTGTCATACGGTGCTAATGTTTTCGGGTCTGAAACGTTAGCACCGTATGACAGTATGTGACATCTGGTATTGAATAAACCTATCAATAATTTAAAAATGTTTTCAAGTGTCTGCTGGTGAAATACCTTTATCACTTGGCAAGTACAGCTAGTGCATGTAGCCACATAGAGCTGCATGCCCCAACAGGACATTGCTACACTCATTTAAATTTGTACAGGCAACCATACGCACCAGCTGTCCAGCTGTGGGTGCAGATTTCAGCAGATGTACATTCTGTATGGCTGTGTGAATGAGGCCTAAGAGGTAACACGTGAACAGCAGAGAATCACACAAACCACAAAATACAGAGACTATATATATGTTGTGTTTAAATGTTTATTTATGTTTCGGCTCACTCCAGATATCGCCTGAATGAAACGAGACATACTGAAAAAACCCTCGACACGACCCACTGTCTTAAAATAATATCTTCACTTATAAAACAAGAACAAAATAGCAAAAAGGAAAAAAGTCTCAACACTAATGCATTAAAATTACATAAAGCTTGTTAAGTCACTTCACAGAATCATTTAACAAGGAAAAATAAAAAAAAAAAGGGTGCGGATGACAGTACTTTGCTCAGGTCTTGAACTTCACAAACCAAATCTGCCCTGAAATTTTACAGGAAGTTGTAAAGGGGCAGCTGCATACATTGGAAAATGCACTACCACCAAGAACAATGGCTGCAGTGTTTGCCTTTTACATGGCTCTGCCATCTGTAGACTAGATATGGAATAACAGGTGCACACAAAACTTGTTTTGCTATAACCACAGCTTGTAAACCTGAAACCTTGCTTTAATGCCTGGTCATGCGGTGACTTGACAGCTGCAGGCTTGAGGATTTAGAAAGTAGAAAACCCTCTTGGCCCTGCCAAACTATAAAACAAACAAAACCACGATCTACCAACCAAAATTCCCCTTGCAAGTACCCATGATGCACTAAAACGCAAGGGAGAAAATGATTGATGGGCCAAGCCTTGTCTTCGCTCTGATACTAGAATTAGGACCCACTGACTCAGGTCAGCACAGGACCAAAGATTTCCCAGAGCGTTTCACTGCACTACCAACAAGCAGAGTGATTGTTACACGACCATTATATCTGTGACAAAACCATTACACTACAATGCTGTAAGTCATGACAAGACCCAAAAACACAGAAGTGACACTGATTACTAGTAAATTCAATTGCCAGAACTGAAGTTAAAAAAAAATATGCTTTTAAATGGGAAAAATAAAAATATTGCAGTATATGCACAACAGGCTTTCTGCCATAGCAAAGGGTGACAATACAACACTGGGAACCAATATGAAACGTTTTCCACATACGGGGGGGGGGATGGGAGAGGTAA